TTGCCATTTTACATATAAGACTAGAACATCTGCAGATTTTGGTGTCCTCAGGGAACCTACCTGGAACCAATCACCTGTTAATACTAAATGACAACAATGTGTGGGTATGTATACATAGATATATAATGTGTGTGTGTATATATATATATATATATATATACATATACATATATACATACATATATATATATACACATATATATGTGTGTGTGTGTGTATATTCTTTGTAGATGTATTCTTCACATATATGGTTGAAGAGAATAATATTGAAAATAGATCAAAATATTAATGGGTAGTAATATGGGTAAAAATTGTATGTGAGTTCTTTATACTGATCTGAAATTATATCTGAATAAAGCTTAAATTTCAGAAACCCCAAACACATGAAAATATATTTAACAATAAAATAATTCATCATAAATTGTCATATATTTACAAATTTAAATGTAAAAATAATGAAAAAAAATGTGTAATGCATTGTCTTTTGAGCAAAAGACATATTTTCCTAGACAGCTGATATGCATATAAGTTGCTAATATTTCATGGATGTAGTTGGTCACATAGGTCTTGTTTATAATAGTAAAAAAAAAACTTTTGAACATTCTGGTTTAAATGATTATTCCATGAAAAAGAAGAAGTGTTCAAAATATTTAATCATATTCATTTTCATATTATCTTTTCCAGGAAAATTCAATTTACCTTTCCAATGAAAATAGAATAGATAATTTGTTATGCTACATCCATTAAAGGTGTTAATATAGACAATAAAACAAAGTTTAAAAAAATTGATAGCATTATTTTGAAGTAACTGAAAATAGGTTATATGAATATAGCACAAAAAATATATGTGACATATCTCCAAATTATGGAAAATTGCTTAATTATGCATGAGCAAAATAAAGAAAAAAGATAAAGAATAAATTTTGTAGGACAATTTCCTCAAGATATAGGGTCAAGGATTTGCCTCTTTCTGGTATAGAACTTCTCCAAACAATTTCAATTAGGAGAAGAGTTTAAAAGATCCCTCTCCAGATACACTAAAGCCAAATTCCTGGAATGTGGCTTGAGAATCTAAATTTCTAAAAAGCGCTCTGATTTGCTGACTTGTTAATGTACACTTTTTTTCTGAGAGTAGAACTCCAAGACTAATCAAGTGTTTGGCCAAAGTATATTCAAGCCAAGTAAATAAATCATAAATAAATAAACTTGCTGTTTCTATCTCTCTCCACTTTTTTTTTCATGTGTGTTTAAAAAAAGTTTCTCTTTCTTTTCTCAAGCCCTGTGCTAATTTTCATTTTTCCTGCCTTTGTACTTCCATGAAAAACTTTTTGGTATCCTATTTCCTTAGAAGATGTGGGGTTTTCTTGATTTTTGATTATGCTTTTAGAGTTTAGTCCTCCAGATTCTCTCTAATTTTTTGTGACTCTAAACTTCTTTCAAAAACTTCCTGTAAATTACAAGCATCCTTGTATAAAAAGCATCATAACTTCCTGTTACTCACTCTCCCTTAATTCCAAAAGGACAACTTGCTTTACTGATGCCCTGCCCACAGGCATTTCCATATTAGTTGCTATCTTATTCTCAAAGTGTTTTATTATTTGCATAATTGGGTCCACTTTGTCTGCTGAGAAAGCCATCTTCAAACACCTGTCACATCTGGGAATGAATGTCTAATTCTTTGGCTCCAAAGACTTGTTGAGATTTATTCTGATTAAGAACATTTCCCTTGCCAAGACTGTTGGATACATTCCTATTAAATAGTCTGTGGAGAATCTCAGAAGATGAAAATCTACTTTGTTGTAGTGATAGTCATTTATTACATTTCTGGATAAATAAAGAAAATAGGAAAAAGATACTCAAATATCCATATATGAAATGCCTGTTATAGTCACTGATCTCATGAATATTAGAAAAAAAGTTCAATGCCTTCATGATATGAGGAATAATTAGTTAAAACCCTTTGTGGATGAATTTATTCAATCAAAAATAAGAATAAAAGACTACTTACTTTTAAGGTGATTATAATTTTTAAAATAATTAATATATTCAAACTGTATATAACAGTGTTTGTAAATAATATTTATTATTTAAGATTATTATCATAAGATTATTATTATCTAAGATTATTATCATAATATAACAAAAGGTAAAATAATTATACTTGTATGATAATATACCATCATACAATGATTTAATAGGTAATTAGTACCATGAAATAAAGGAAAAATTATATCAAATCATGCAACCAATGCTATATATAGCCACGTAACCATAACCACTACAAGATTTTTCAAAATTAAACAAAATACCCCAAAGTGATTTTCCTGCTTTGTGACATATAAAATGTAGAAATATATATATTTTTATAACTGTTAAATTATTTTTTGTAGTTGTAGATGTATAGCATGCCTTTATTTTATTTGTCTCATTTTTATGTGGTGCTAAGGATCGAACATAAGTTCTCACTCATGCCAGGCAAGCGCTTTGATACTGAACTACAGCCCCAGCCCAGAAATGTACTTTAATTTGCAAACCACACTTTTTTCAGAAAATGCATTTATCTTGTTAAAGAAAGTATTAATAAAGAAAATATTAGAACACTTTTATGGCATCATCAGACCTAAGAATAGGCACTTTTGCTGAGGCTGGCTTTGAACTCATGATTCTCCTGTCTCAGCCTCCCAAGCTACTGGGATCACAGGCGTGCACCACAGCACCCGGCCTCTCCTAGGAGTAATGTTAGACTCACAGTTTAAAATCTTTCTTGAATCAAGAAAACATCTAGCCCCTGATAACTGAGTCACAATTAAACCTTAAAAACTCAAGGCATCGCGGCTGGGTAACTGGAAGCCACTGTAAAGACAAGACCATAATGGTTGCCAAGACCAAGTTTTAGCTTATGTAGCTACAAAACCTGAGCCGTATTAATGCTATGTCAAGAGTCTGTGGCATTTCATCAGTGTCATTTTTCAGCATACTTAACATTTAATAGCAGGATCGCTAACCATCAAGGATGTGAATAACCCTTGCCTACTAACCCTGAAACACACTCACTGTGTGTGACCTACATCCTCCTGCTAGTAGTGTCAGAAAAGAATGATGCCACCAAAGCAGATCAGCTGTTCTATGTTGAGCCACAGAGGAAACCACTCAAGTATGACAGGAAGAAGAGATGCTTTAAGGACGAAGTAAAGTAATGCATCTGACAGCAGGGCATAGCTTAGAAACCATGAGAGTGGTGAACTAAATGGGCAAGAGCTAAAGATGATTCACTTGAGTAAAAACAGTAAGCAGGAAAAAAAATGTCAGGTTTTGTAATCAGTTTAAACATCTGCTTGTAACTGATTTTGTTTTTAGCATCTTTTTTTTCATAACAAAAATTAAATTATGTGTAAAAATGTGATAAGTTTTGTATAGCATTGAGTGGGTATTAGGAGCATGCAAAATACTCTGCTGAATTCACTAAAATTAAAAATCCTCAATAATTGCAGGGTTTGAAAATAAGATTAACTATATACTAGCTTAGAAAACAATGAAATGGAGTTGTGTGGGAAGAAGAATTTTGACATTTGAATAAGTAAATCATTACATTGAACTAATGGCCTCCTTGTAAGCCATCAGAATTAATGCATTTTAAAGCAAAATGCCATTACTTTGAAACCCATAGCAAAACTGTCAGCATACTTCCTCTTAAAAAGACTTTTTCTACATTTAGATGCACCATGTATTCTGTAACTTTTCTTAAACTAGGTTAGTAGAAAAACTATATTCTAAATACATTATAAATCATTATTGTGAAGTTTATTAGCTAGTCCATACTGCCTAAGTAGTAATTTTCATACAAAAAAAGACAAGCTGAAAACAAAATGACTACCACCTGGGAATCAGTTGACTTGAAATGATATCAGACAAATCCATGTTAAAATTCTGATTCCCACAGCTACTTATGGTAGGACATATAGCAAATTTCTGATTTTTTCCAAGCCTTAGCTTCATCATCTGAAAGCTTATTTAAGAATGTTAACTAAATTTTTAAAAATAGATTTTATGTAAATTGTTAGTTTTAATGCTTGGTACACGATAGAATAACAACAGAAATTGCCAGGTTTTATATTTGCTTTTTAATATTTAAAATATTGAATACCAAAAATCAGCCTTTCTACAAATACATGCCTTCTGATTAGTCCTCAGTGAGACCAAAGATAAGATATTTAAAAGTGAAAGAACTCATTTACAAAAGATGAAAAATGAAACAGCACTGAGAATTCAGGTATTAAAGAGTTCATTAGAAGTATTTCTTTTAAAATTTTTACCTAATATGTCTTTCAGGGAAGATGAGCATGAAAGATAAAAATACATCCTCCCCTGCATATGCACTGCCAGCTACCAGCTACAAAAAGCCTTTTTTACAGAGTTTGTTGAAAATCTTTCATGGTATTTCCTTGACTTGGCCAGAAAATTGCAGCTTTTCATTGCATACACCTGCATGCAGGGCTCCCTGAAAAGTAAATTACTATGAACAGTGAAATTTGTATGACTTAAATAAGTGTTGAGACGTGGGGAATGAAAAGGGACACATATCAGAGATGTTCATTTAGTTAATAAAACTAGGCATTTGATTTGAATAGCTTTATATCTACAGAGTGATTGTCTCTCACTTTCTTTTTTATGATACTTTAAAACTACATAATTTTAGCAGATTGAATAGCAAATTTCAATAACATCATTTATTTACAACAAAGTGTGCATCTTTAAATCTTAAGCATAGGAAAAAGCTATAAAAGAAAAAAAGTTCTGATAGTGTTAAGAAATCGTGCATTTTGTGTTTTAAAAAGCTTCCATATCTTTTTTTTTTTCAGTCTTAGAAGACTGCCTGTGATTATAAAGCATGATCCAGTAATACTTTTGTAAATGAATCACTACTGCATTCATACCATTAGTCTCTGAACAGATGTCAGAAAGTAAAGATTGGCTGCCTCTAGATCAAGTTGCTGCTGCCAATTCTCGCGAGCTTTGTCAGTAACAGTTGATTGTAATGTCAGTGCAGTCCAATTTACAGGCTGGAGCAGCAGCTGCATCCTGCATTTCCCTGAAGAATTGCATGATTTCTACTCCTTGCAAACTTTATCATCTTTATTTTTGCAGAAAGTCGGGTAAGTTAATCTGAATTTACACTTTTTTTTTTCAGAGATGTAAGTTACTGTGAGGCTCATTCTGTGGGAGGAGTGTGGTTTCTTCACATGTTTGTTTGCCCTTTGGTGCTCTGTGGGGAATAGTCACTGAAGCTTGCAAATAGGACAGATGAAGCAAGTGAGCCGGCACATGCATCAGATCTTTCTATTTTCCTGGGAATGCAGATCTAGTCCCCATAACTGTTGAGGGAATAGGAGTTTATTCTCCACATAAAGGGCCATATCACTTGTGGAATCAAATATCACTGTGATATTTGTTCTTTCTGAGCTCCTTAAGGAAATATATTTTACACTACTTTATTCTTAAATGCACTGATTAATGACTCTTGCCTTGAAAGAGTAATAAAAGTGATCTTTGGCCAGGTTTGATCTATTTTCTCCCCTTTTTGAAGTGGCATAACATTAATAGTTCTCTTACTGTTTACTTAGCAAAGTAATTTCTCAATCAATATCTTGTCGTCTGAAACTTTCACATTATCAACAGACAAAAGCTCAACTTTTCTTTTATGTAAAACAAAAATCTGTTTCCTAAGTTGATTTACAAATGTTTTCCCTTTGCCTGGTTAGACTTTTTTTTTTACAGGCATTTTTAAATAGTAGCAAAATATCTTATATTTACTGTTATTTTATTATTTAGAAATATTAAGCAAATATAGACTACCTGCTGATGTTTTAATCTTCTAAACTTAATGTTATTTTTTGACATCAGTAACCATCAATAATCACCAGGGCATTAAGCTTTAAAAGTATAAAATGTGTTAAATTGAAAAAAGACTGAAATGTGAACACAATTGTTTCATTTTTTAAATTTCTGTTTTTTATATACATTTTTATTTTTGGAGTAGGTCTTCTACTTTTTTATTAATATATGTCAGTTAAGAATGTTATGTGAAATGTATCCCTAATATAAACTATTACTAGTGATAAATGAAACTTTCTCATTTATAAATTCTTTATTTGAGGATAAGATTGAGCATTTGAAGTGTGGCATATTGCTTGGAAGGGTATTCCTTAGAGTTCTCTGTAGGTGTAAAATAACGTGGTCTTTGGATCCAAAAAATAATTTCTAACTGGATTTTCAAAGTTATACTTTATTTTCCTAGCTGTGTTATTTTTGTTTATTTGCAATGTCCCACTTTTTTAATTGTAAAAAGCATCCAAGACCTATTCCATATTATATTTTTATAAAGTATAAGCAAGTATTAGTTTAACAAGTCATATCTTCTGTAAAAATGTAGTACCTTCTTTGATTTATTTATAGACAATAATAATACATATTTAAATTATACAGCATGTTTGTTTTGATGCTTTTGTTAAAATTTGCTCACTCTTACGAAAACTGGACTGCCAAAGAGAAATAGAATAGATGACAACCTCAGAGAAAATTCAACTTCTGGAGAAGACCTAGAGATCTAAATATAAAGGGTTCAAATTATTTCTACAGTGAAAGTGTGTGAGCACTTTTCTTGATTGAGGACAGACACAGATCTTGTGCTTCTCATACCTAAAATATTGTCTTCTATCTGTATACTGCCTCTCAGTGCCTACCGGATAACTGAAAGATCCCTGAGAGTGGCATAGTGCAAAATAGTCTTTCTCAATTTCCCACCTTTCTTAACATGATATGAAACAAGGTTTGGGGATTTGATATAAGAACTTATTTGTTTTAAAATGACCAAATCATTTTAGTGGTTAGTGTTCTAGATCATATCAATATTATCTAGATTGCTCTTTCTTCAACATTTTAATAGGATTTGTTTTCAAATAAAAAGATACATTTTATTGTGACTTTTTCAACATTGGAAAACTAATATGCAGAGAAGACTATTAGAAATATTTTTGACATTTCTTTATGTAGGCACTGGCTGGCCTATTATTTTAAATACTTAGTTGATATCCAATTATGACAAATAAGTGGTAAATATATAATTCTTTATTTAAGTCAGTTAATCACATCCAGTATACTATAACACAGCATATTTACTCTTATAACTGACTGGAGAATTTTGATAATTTTTAAAATAAAATGCAAAAAGAAGAAAGTTATTGAGTTTTATTTTTTAAATTATATTTTTGAAAGTTCAGAATTTCAAAAAAATCACCACTTTAATTTGTATGTCCTGGAGCATTTGATAAAATTGGAGTTTATTAATTTACTTTTGCCTCATCTTTCTTTCAAATATTATCTACTACTTCAATAGGTTAATTGATCTAAATTCCTTTTATTGTTGTACTTGTTGTGGAAATTTGCCCCATTTTTTATGATAAACTTGGTATGAATATGTGTATTCAGTGGCAGTTGCCACAGAATCTATGAAAAGAGAAACAATGAATTTTTCTTGAATATTTTAATCATTTTTAACAATTTAGACATGTAGACTGGTAACATTTTGTTAGTCTTCTTTTATTTATTTCTATTTTAAAAACAAATTGGAAGACTGTAAAACCAATGTGTTAAAATACAGAATATCAGATTATAACAACAAACTGATGTTTATTTAAACAAAACAATGAAGGTGAATATAAAAATCTCAAACTACACGAAGTATGTGAACATTTGCAAATTTTCTTATGAAGGTATAGGTTTACTTTTATGGTATATAACAATCTTCAACAAGTAGCATTTGTGTCAAAACTACATAGTTATCTTTGCAATAATTGTATGCTTAAAACACTTGTTTTTAATGATAAAATTACATTATTTATGAGGTAAAAACTCATAATTATTGAAAAAATTCTCTAATTTATATGAATAGTATTGCATAAAATTGAGATATACTTGAAATGTAAATAAAAATACTTATGTAAATTAATGTAAGTGACATGAAAATAATATTGCAACCTTTTAGATGAAATAACACCTATTGTAAATGTAATAAAGTTACCATATTTATTAATTATATATGAAATAATGCACTTGTTAGTAATTGTATCTGCATTGCAGTAAAATATTTGTAGAAAAAAGTTTTTAAACAATCAGAGGCCAAAAAAGAGTTAACATTTTGTTTGATTCTTAAAGATAAACCAATATTTAAGTAAGATCAAGGAAACAATAGAGAATCTTTTCATTGGTCAGGGGGACACTGACTGAGCAAGCTAAGAAGGACAAGTGATAATCAAGAACCTGTAATTAATTTGTTGAAAGGGTGTATAGACTAAACCTGCTTTGTATTTTATTTCTTTTGCCTTGACAATGAAGGTTTTTAAAGAGGGAACCATCCTGCACAGTACTTAATCTCATCCATTTATTTATGTAAAAGGACTTACTAATTATTAGGAAAAAAGAATAAAAAGGACTATAATAGCAGTGCCTCTAAAACTCCTGTTAAAAGTCTGTAACTCCCATAGTAAATGTTAGGCTACCAGAAACTGTACATTATTATTACATATTACTTGCCTATTGTTATTATAATGCACCAAGTTACATTTACTATAATAATAATAAGTTTTAAATATCATGAGCACAGAAAATGTTAAAATGTTTCTGCTTCATTAATATATTTTATTGATGTTAGTACACATTCAATAGTATTAAAGCAAAGGACATAAAAATAATCTGTGATGATTTAAAGACAGAACTTTTTATAACTTATTGTTTTTTCTTTTTTTTTAAATTTTTTATTGTTGGTTGTTCAAAACATTACATAGTTCTTGACATATCATATTTCACACTTTGATTCAAGTGGGTTATGAACTCCCATTTTTACCCCGTATACAGATTGCAGAATCATATCAGTTACACATCCATTGATTTGCATGTTGCCATACTAGTATAACTTATTTTATATAGAGATATTTTTGTACTTACATATGAATATTGATAGTATTATATTTTGATGTGGATAAGGTCATAACTAGTAAGCTCTAAACTAAGTGATATAAACCATGGTTTAATTTATTCAGATATATGTTTGAATCAAAAGTTGTTTTTTGTTTGTTTCTTTGTTTTTCTTAGCTATCCTATGAACAGTGGTGAAATAAGCTGATTTTAAACATGAGTACTCAACGTCTGGAAGAATTGAGAGTTATTCTACATACCAGGAGAGCTCCTTATTCTTTGCCTTCTGAAACAATCTAAATTAACAAAGTAAAAACTAATACAGATGTTCAAGTCTGACAGGGTTAGTTTCTTGGTCATGCAAGTTGGATTTATAATTACAGCATCAGAAAAAAAATAAAGATTTTATATATATTTTATATATTTTATATAATAATATAGATGAAAACCACTACTTATAAATGAATATTCTAATTGTATTTCTTGCAGTTATATAAAGATGTTAGTTCTTTTAAAAAATATTTGTGGTACGTTTTTCAATCCCTCTTTAGAACATAGTTTTTGATGTGTTTTTTAATATTTTTATGTAAAAGAAACTTAGATATCCATTAAAATTTTTTGATAAAACGTATATCTATCCAAATGACATCTTTATATCATCAAAAATAGAATTTAACAAAATGTTAAATATTTATTATTTTGTACTTCGCAAAAATCATTTTGCTTGTTTCAGTTATCCCCTTAACTTCTCAGCTATGGTCCTCTGATTTCAGTCATTTTGTCCACCATCAAAACAGAAATAACTCTGACTGTGCTAACACATTTAACCAGTTACATATTCTTCAAGAAATTAACAATTTAGCAGATGTGCATTGTGTACAATCACTTCTAAGCCAGTATCTTCTTCCATACAATTATAATATCAGTCATTGTTCTCACCACCAGAATTGTAATTCAGACAGAAGCTCCTCATCCTTATTAAATTTCAGAAAAATTTCCCTGGGATGCATCCCTGGCCCTCCTCATTTTTTTTTTTTTTGCTTTAATAATGGAGCAGATTTGTTATTTTTTATGATTTATAAAATAATCTTCAACTGTTTTATTTTTGTTACTTAACATTCTATGAATACGTTGTCTAAGTCATTTCTTGACAATAGACTAAGATTGTATAGAAAGAGAAATTAGTAAGTGAAAGGACCATAAAAGGGACCATGTTGCAAAAAAGGGCAATAGTAGAAGTCTATGGATCCTAAAAAGTTCTTTATGTACTTCACAGTTTTGTCATGAGCCAACAAGCCAATATTTCAAAAAATACATGAGCTTGTATTTTGTCCTCTAAGGCAGAAATTATACCTGACATACCCCTTAATGCCATATTTAATGTGGCTGTACATAGTGCAGAATTGATATTATATATGCTTGGGACAAACTTCCTCTTTAAAATATAAAATCTTTACAGATCATGAATATTTCAAAAACAAAGTTACTTCTACTTTCCATTCTACTTATTTTTCTTCTAAATTGAAAACTAAAATAGCCTAATTTTCTTGTTCCCGCCCCCCAAATTTATGCCTTTGTAGTGATAGCAGACTTTGTAGTGTTCATATTTTTTAGGATAAAAAGAAGCAATATGTTTTAGTAAATTATCATCAATAAAGTATAACACTTTATACATAGAGTGATCAAAATCTCTGCTTACCTCTCTTTCAGAAATCAACATGCAGAGCAAGCACTCATTTATAGGTGTTCAGTTTCTCTTGTGGTTTCTTCTGCTCTGCATGCTTATTAGGAAGTCACACACTGAAGAAGATATGATAATTACAACCAAGATCGGGAAAGTGAGAGGGATGAGCTTATCAGTACTTGGTGGCACTGTCACTGCCTTTCTTGGAATTCCTTATGCACAGCCACCCCTTGGTATGCTTCGATTCAAAAAGCCACAACCCCTGAATAAGTGGTCTGACATTTGGAATGCCACAAAATATGCAAATTCTTGCTATCAGAACATTGATGAAAGCTTCCCAGGCTTTCCAGGATCAAAGATGTGGAATCCAAACACCGACCTCAGTGAGGACTGCTTATATCTGAATGTGTGGGTTCCGGCACCTAAACCAAAGAATGCTACTGTAATGATATGGATCTATGGTGGTGGCTTTCAGACTGGGACATCCTCTTTACATGTCTATGATGGCAAGTTCCTGGCTCGGGTTGAAAGAGTTATTGTAGTTTCAATGAACTATAGGGTGGGTGCCCTGGGATTCTTAGCCTTACCAGGAAACCAAGAGGCTCCAGGGAACATGGGCTTATTTGATCAACAACTGGCTCTTCAGTGGGTCCATAAAAATATAGCAGCCTTTGGCGGAAATCCTAAAAGCGTTACTCTCTTTGGAGAAAGTGCAGGAGCAGCTTCAGTGAGCTTTCATTTGCTTTCTCCTAGAAGCCACCCTTTGTTCACCAGAGCCATTCTTCAAAGTGGATCCTCTAATGCCCCTTGGGCAGTAATTTCTCCTTATGAAGCCAGGAATAGAACCTTGACCTTAGCAAAATTTATTGGTTGCTCCAGTGAGAATGAGACAGAGATAATAAGATGCCTTCAAAATAAAGATCCCCAGGAAATTCTTCTGAATGAAGTGTTTGTTCTCCCTTATGACACTCTCTTGTCAGTAAAATTTGGTCCCACTGTGGATGGTGATTTCCTCGCTGACATGCCAGACACACTACTCCAACTTGGACAATTCAAAAAGACTCAGATATTGGTGGGTGTTAATAAAGATGAAGGGACAGCTTTTCTAGTATATGGTGTTCCTGGTTTCAGCAAAGATAACAATAGTATCATAACAAGGAGGGAGTTTCAAGAAGGTCTAAAAATGTTTTTCGAAGGAGTGAGTGAATTTGGGAAGGAATCAATTCTTTTCCATTATGCTGATTGGTTAGATGATCAGAGACCTGAAAACTACCGTGAGGCCTTGGATGATGTTGTTGGCGATTATAATATCATACGTCCTGCTTTGGAGTTTACCAAGAAGTTCTCAGATTTGGGAAACAATGCCTTTTTCTACTATTTTGAACACCGATCTTCCAAACTTCCTTGGCCAGAATGGATGGGAGTGATGCATGGCTATGAAATTGAATTTGTCTTTGGTTTACCTCTGGAAAGAAGAGTTAACTACACAAGAGCTGAGGAAATTTTGAGTAGATTCATAATGAAATGTTGGGCAAATTTTGCAAAGTATGGGTAAGTGATGATTTTTGTTGCTCTGTGCTTTAGTTGGTTTTGTTTTGCTTGATCTCTTGATCTTTTGTGTAGACTTTCTTAAAGGCATAGAAAAGTTTTGATGATTTATTCTCTTTGTATCAAAGATAATAAATTTTTTTATCATGTAGTAAATTGCAATTCTTTGTCTCAGAGTGCTTTGCAGAAATCATCATAGAATTTTCATGAAAGTATTTCTTGATTTCATTTCCAAACTATTGCAAAGTACTTTAACAATGCTAGTCAAAATTCGTGTGGAAATAGCTGCTTGCCTGAACAATTGAAATTTTTGTTACAGTGCTTTCTAAGCCTCAAGTTTATGATGTTCACAGATTTAGGCAAGAGTAGAAAAATATATCTTTTTTATGTTTCTAAGCCTTGTAGAGTGGTTTCTGCTACATGAAGTGATAATCTTTGCTCAGGAAAATGAAGGGACAAGGTGGTGATGGAATTTGCACTCAGATTATCTGAAATACACAGTATTGTTCATTCTATAAATTCATTTTCCCTAACAGATTTGTTAGAGCTCTCAGATAGTCTGTGTTTGACAGGACCTATGAGAATCTTCATGTTTAGCTAAGCTGTTCTCCAAAGAGGTCTTATGGTTGATGTTAGATAATCAGAGACTTTGCCCTAGAAGATATTTTTCTTATGTATTATAAATATTGCAATATTATGTCTTCAAGAGTCAGAAGAAAATACATGTACTTAGTGAATTATAGATGGTTCCAATTATGCTTTGTCTATTTTTTTAACGTTACAGTAATGCAAATGTGATACCATTCAATAGAAACGGTACTTTGAATTTTGAATTTTGATGTCTTCTTGGGCCAGCAGTATTAGGCAGGATACTCTTCAGGATGCTGGACAGCGGCAGCAAGTGTCAGCTCCCAGGCAGAAAAAAAAAAGAAAGCAAGAGTAAACAGGGGATAAACTGTAGGCTACTGTGTTGCTAACCCATAGCTTGCTCAGTAGCTTAGGTGTATTCAATGTGTTCTTTTATTTATGATATTTTCAATTTACAATGGCTTTATCAGGATATAACCCCATCATAAATCAAGGTGCTAAGAGGACATAACCCATTCATAAATCAAGGAGCAACTGTAATCGGTAGGAATATATTTTTGAATGGGGGTGCATTCATATAAAAATAGAATCTTTTCTTTTTCACTACATGTATATTCTCAAAAGAATTTTAGACATTAAAGTAGTTTATATCATTGTGAATAATAAAAAATAGAAATTTACAGAACCTGCTTTAAAGGGAGTGTATGTCCATGTATCAATCATAAGTTGATTGCTTCTTTAATTAATCTGTGACAGTTTCTTTAATAATTAAACATAATGTTGATAATTATATAATTGCTTTCTGGTGTTCTTAGTTTACCTTCCATTTGGAATTCTTCATTTCAATGTTACTATATGGATCATTCTGCACTATTAGTTACATCATATTATTCTCAAAACTTCATGTTATGTATTCACTGTGTGTAAAGTTATAAATTTTCCATGTAGTTTTTAAGGGCTTCTATAATCTCTCTGCAACACACATTATCTAACAACATCTGGATATGTGGTAGACCAGTTTTCTCAGGAATGCAGACTCCAAGCAGAACTGTACCCTGCAGCTGTGCTCTTGCTGTGTGTCTCCATTAAAACACCTACACTTTTCACTTTCAATGACTAAGTCCTCCTCTTTGTAAGATGCTGATCAACTACACATGTCATCCATTGTTTCTTTACTACCTAGAACAATTTCTTTTAAAATCTTTTTTTTTCATGGAGATTAATTATAAATTGTCTATATCCTTGCCTTCAATATAAGCCAATTCTTCTAAACTATATTAAATTACAACTTCTTGAAATAGAAAGTATGATTTTGATGAAGACTCATTAAAGAACTGAGATGGGTATATCATATTTAAAGATTTGGTTAATGATTGAATGATAGTGAAAACTAGTTTTAATTTTTTAAAAATTCTTTCAGGATATGTGGGTTATTATATTTTCTGTAACTGTGAAATATTTTATGTCTTCTCAACATTTGTCTGAATGCCTACTCAAGACAAGAAGCATCATATTATTTTTGAGCTACATTAGAATTACTTATGTCTCATTCTGTTCTCTGCCTAAAGCTTACATCCACATGGGATCATTTCAGTGTTTTGAATTTTTATTACAATACAATTTGCAAATTATTTAAATAAAAATATTTTTTGAACATGCATGTTCATAATTTGTAAAGGATTTAATATTTTACTTGTTGAAATTATGAAGGAATCTATCTTTTGTCATAGTGGAGAACAGTAAGAATGAGATATGTTAAACACATTTTTATATAAACATAACAGCAAATGAATAAGAGAATCTTTGGCATAATAGAAACAAAATTTAACCCTCCTGAAAGGCAGGTATGATTAATATTTTAATTGGAAATAAAAGGTTTACTTTTTAATTACAATGATAAATTCATAAAACAGGTATTATAAAATACTGAAGTTTAAAGTCAACATAGTATATTATTATAACCATAACAAGATGTTACTGTAGAAAAGGAAGTTCCTTTCTGGTTTATATTTGCATGATTGAACCGAGAAAATGATGATTTGTCATATATGTTGAGAGTTGACTTTATGGCAAGCAAAATGATAATAATAAATGGACTTCAATGGAAATAAAGTTTGAAAATCTGATCACAGTCATGATGTTCCAACTCTTTAGCTCTCAAGAGGGGAAATTATCACCCATCCATCCCATGTCTGGATCTCATTTTGAATATTTCACTTGGGGGTGAGGTAATACTAGCAAGGTGTAATCTTGTTCCTGACATCTTTTGTTAGCATGATATATTTGCAACTCATCTCTGTCTTATAAATCAGAAGTTTATTTCTTACTCTCATAGTGATTGCTATTCCCCATGGAAGATTTTGCCATAGTATGATCATTCATCTGCAATTTGTTTTCTGCTTGGGAATATTATGAATAAAGTATCCATAAATATTTTGCATAAGATGTTTGTAGATACATATTCTTTTCTCTTTTTGAGTGGTGAAGAACTAGGAAAGGTATTTCTGGGAAGTCAATAAGTACATACTTATCTATTCTAGAAATTGTCTTTATTTAGTTTTCTTTAGTTGAGAATATCATATTTCCAGAAAAAAATGTGCCAGAGCTCCAATAGGTTTACAACCTTAGCAACATTTGCAATTATCAGTCTTTCATGTTAGCTCTTCTGCTGGCTTTGTACTGTGATACCACAGTGGTTTTACTATTTACTGATAACTAATGAAATAGAACCCTTTTTCACATGTTTACTGGTCACTTGTATTTTATAAAAAATATAAATATTTTGAACTCAATGTATTTCCTATTTTTAATTAGGTTTTACTTATCAGTGAATTTTAAGGGTCTTATATATTTAGTATAAAAATTCTATTGATTTTGAACACTTTCTCCTAGTCAGCATCATGACTATGAATTTTTAAATGACTTTCTTAATAATATAAAGAGCAGAATTTTTAATTTAATTATTTTTCATAGAAATACTTACATATTTCATTATTATTTATTGGAAAAGATACTTCTTTAGCTATTTAATTATGTTGGAAATTTTTTTCAAAATCAGTTGACCATATGTGTGTGGATATAACTGAGGACAATTTGTTCTGTTCTAATAGATAACCAATATCTATTTTTATGCCAGTATGTCTTCAGTAATATGTCTATATAGTATGGTTTTAAATTGAATCATTTAAAAACATACAATTTAATTTAAAAATAAAATTTTAATTTGAAAAGCATGTCAGAACTAGGTTTGAATTTCTTAATTAGCTTCACATTCTTAATAAAAATTTAGATAGAATGTTAGTTATTGATGAAATTGAAGAGAATGGTGATCTTAACATTATGGCTTTCCAAATCCATGAACATGATGTTTGTAATGTTATTTTGTTCTTTAGCTTCAAAATAGAATTTAAAAGATTTCTGTATAAAAGTCTTGTATATGTTTCAATTTATCAACAAAGATTACACATATTTTTAAATTTTATTTTTCAATTTAGGTTTTGCTGATACCTTGAAATTATAATTAATTTTTATATTGACATTACAGAATGAACCTCACAATGCCAATTCTAATTTTAGTTGTTTTTGCTGCTGCTGCTGCTGTTGTGGTTATTATTGTTATTGTTTTGGAAATGGGATTGAACTGTGGATCTACACTTAACATTGTTAAGTGAGGACTGAGCTCTGCTTCCAGTCCTTTTCAATTTATTTTGAGACAGGATCTCACTGAGGGACATCAGCTATCCTAGAACTTGTGATTCTGCTTCTTTAGCCCTCTGGTTTATATTTGCATAATTGAATAGAGAAAATGATAATTTGTAATATGTGTTGAGAGTTGGCTTTATGGAAAGCAAAATGATAATAATAAGTGAACTCTAGTGGAAATAAAAAGTTAACTTAGATTATAGGCATATGCCTCCAAGTCTAGCAATTTCAGTCATTTTATAGAGTTATTAAGGATCACTTCATTGGTGATAAAAAACATTTTTTTAAAATTTTGGTAGACAGTTTGCCTTTTTTTATCAATATTTATGTTTTTATTTTCCTTGTTGCTGATTTGTTATTTCATTATGATTTTAAAGCAATAGTAATAATAGAGGTGCAGTATATAATATTTCTTTAAATCTTAGAAGATGTGTGTTTATTGTTTCCCTACAGTGGTACAACTTTATACAGTTTTACTTTCAAAGGTTTCATTTATCTGCAATACCCCATATAATTAAAATATTATTAGAAAGTTCAGAAATAGCAACTCCTAAGCTTTAAATTATTCTTCTGACTAACATGATGAAATCTCACTCTGTTCTTACATGCCCAACCTGGAACATGAATCATTCCTTTGTAACCACATGGTATGTTTTCCATCCTGTGGCAGTTGAGAAAGTGGGAGACCACATCCTCATAACATTTATATAGTA